TGTACTAGCTATAACCAATATACTAATAAAGACTTGAGGGCATGACCTCACCTTAACAATTAAAAAAAAAAAAAAAATAATAATGATACAAAATTTGATTGATTAAAATTATACTCTGCAAAAAGTTTAACCTAACAGACTGGCTTTAAATTTTTTGTCAACAGAACTGGCCTAATAGTTTTGTATTAACTGATATTATTAGAATTGTAATTTTAATTTTGCTTTTTTTGAATAAGCAATAATTATTTATTTATTTATATATTTAACTTAGTGACAAGAATTTAAATCTTTATAATGCTTTAAGTTTCTAATTTTTAAAAATAAGCAGGCAGTATTATATATTAAATAATCCATTATAAGTATTCATATTTAGATTATTAATATCTATATCTTTAAATATTTTTAATTTTTATATTATATCTACTATTGCCAATTTATTATCTAAATAAATCAACTTCTATATTATTAAAAACATTTAATTGATTTTTATTTAACTTTAATGTGAAATATGTTTTAGAAAAAAATTAATAGAAGAAAATTGATTTTAATATTTCTCTTATCAACTAACTAATTTACAAAAAATACAAGTTAAGAATTAACCTACTTATTAACTTGCTATTGTGCTAAAATCAATCTATATTATTAGTAAATTGTTTTACAAAAAATAAAAAATTATTTAATAATAATTGTAAATAAGATTTATTAAATAAATAAAAATAAAAGATGGTAATCCTAGTGTAGTAGTTGGGTTGTCATCCTCCAAATGGCAGATCTAAGGTTCAAATCCCACCTACAACAAAATTTAGAAATTAACTTGTGTTACAGCAAACTGTTTCTTGACAATCAGTTAAATTTGTATATCTGTAAACTTAAGTTGCATTATTTTGAATGAGAGCTTGGGCATCTATGCCAAGTGTAACATTTTACATACATAGAGGAATGTTAATAACTGGTGTTGCATAAGACTTCAGTACAAACTTACAATAAGACCATTGGGCACAGTAAACTAAGAAACTAAAGAGTCAGAAGCCCACTTGAAAATTTTCAAATAAAGAGGTAACATAAACTTTTGACAGTACAGTCAAACTGATAGAAGCCTATGAAACACTGTCAAAGGGATAGACAGATAAACTGGATGTCAAGATGTATAGAGGAGCACATGACCAACCAGGCTGTCAGAATCATCAGAGGAAAAGAATACTTAAGTATATTATACTAGACTATCTGGATTAGAAGTCAGGGGAGTCTTGTCAGTTCTAAGTAGTAGTTAGTAATAGATAATAGAGAAGACATTGTGATGATAGATACTGAGATTCTAGTGAACTTTACAAAGGTTAAACAGATAACCTTTGTGACTGCAAGTATTAGATAACTATAATCTGTTGTATAAATCTAGATTAGCTGTATATGGGACACAAAAGGTTCTAGTAAGTTTTTTGTTGAGGATAGACTAGTTCTAAGAGTCTTGAAAGCATTAGGTACTTTGGATAGGTGTAACTCAGAAGATGTTCTTGTGATCACAAGTTGGATTACATATACAGAGAGTTTAAATAGGCAAGACTCATAGTTGGTTTGCAGGTATACACCAAGTATAGAATCTGTATAGTAATGTATAGGAGGACTACTTAAATTAGGCACCAAAAGTGCATGTATAGTTAGTTGTAACCTTTTATATATGTAAGCTCCTGAAGGCATCTATGTTCAAATACTTGAATAAAAAAATTGATTCCCAAAGGCAGAGGCTTTAATATTAAAAAAAATAAATAAATAAATAAAAATATTTGTATTGATTGACTGATATTTGATCAAACTTTGTATAAAAGAATAAGATTTATCATCTTTTGCAATAATAATAATAATTAAAAAATATATAAAACTATTTTTGATTGAAAATAAACTAAATAAAAAATAACAACTAATAAATTAGAAAGCTTATATTTATAAAATTATGTTATATAATATCTTATGCAATATTCAAAAATGTACTAAGTAAATAAGATTAAGTACTTTAAGTAAAAATGTTCAGAACTCTCAAAAAGCTTTTAAGAACTAAAATTTGAACTTATAAAAATCTTAGATTTAATATATCTTGTATAATAAAAAACCTTTATTTATCTTAAAGTTGAACTTTAATTATCAATAAATCTTATTATCAAAATAAAATTTCAAAAATATATTTATATTAACATATCAAAATAATTTAATATTTTTTTACTATAATAAAAATAACTAAAATATTGTTTTAAAAATAAATAATCATAAATATATTAAAATAATTTAATATTTTTTTACTATAATAAAAAGAATATTGCTATTTATCGCCAGTGGTGATATCGCCGGTGATACTATATCTCAAAAATCTACTAGCTAACACATGTCGAAGGTACTATGTAAAAATGTTCAGGACCCCCAAAAACTTAACAATAACGAAGATTTGGACCTTTATACCTAACCCTAACCTTGGTCTAAAATTGCACCCTATCTCTAAATTTGATAAAAGAAATAAGAGGTGGTGGTATCGCCACCAGCGATAAATGCTAAAATTGTAATAAAAATATCAAAAATATTGTCCTAAGAATAAATAATTGTAAACAATTTTTTTATAAATAATAACAACAAATTAACAAATGCTTAATTATAAATTTGTACAATTACTATAGATTAGTAGAAGGCAGTCTATCTTTAACCAGAAATGTTATGCAATCAATGTGATACAAAATATTTATTTCTTTCATTTGTTAGTTATTTCCAAAAATCATATTAACATTAAGTGACATAAAAAAAATATAAGAATATAGAATTGATCAAATTTATTAATTCAATAAAATAAAAAAATATAATTAATTAATTTATACATTCAACAAATTGATTTTATCAAAATCAAGAAATTAAAAGATTTGACAAAAAACAACATGCTCAAATGAGATTTTTTCTCTTTACTAAGTAATTATAAATTAGTCAACACACTTTTCTTGACAATATGACTTCTTTAAATCTTAAATTTATTATCAAAGTAACTCTAAATTCAACAAAAATCAATTTGATTAAACCAATGTCAAAATCGGGCATCTATTAAAAGAAGTGCTAAGATTCAAAAATAAACCTATAAATACAATATGTATTTGGTAAAAAAATTAGAGGAAACTGCACGGAACTGTACTAGAACTGCATTAGAACAGATACATGCAGCACAAGTACAAGTACTATATTTAAAGATGTTGGAATAAACAATTTCCTTTCTAGTTTAAAAAGAAAGTGGCACTAACGAGGATACACAAAAACACAATTCATCCAATTAAACCGCATTTGCTCAAGCAAATTCGGAAATAAACAAAAGACAAACATCAAACAAAATCTTATCCAATCAAAACGAATTTACATCATGATATAAAATGCAGAAATATGTCGTGTAATTAATTTCTGACCGTTAATTGGATATCGCTAACAGACTTTACTTAATTTAGTATAGAAATAGTACGTCCTCCGCGCTTCGGACATTAAATATATTACTCCATTTATTCTTTTATTTAAATGCTAATTATTTTGTTTATACGCACATACTTAACAAAATTCTTAATATCGATAAAATTAAAATGCTCTTGGAATAAACAACAAATTATATGCATTGTAAATTCTTGTGCATGTGCATAAAATAGCACATTAGCATTAATTGCACAAATCACATGAATGTGGCGTTGAATAATCAAATTCAAATTCTTATGTTTGTCATGCTGACACTAATACCATAAAAGAAATTTGTAATTAAATTTATAATTATTACTCTGTCTTACAAGATAATAATTTTAAATAAAATATCTACGAGTTATGTTATATGTTTTTGTTAATAGTTGCACCTACATACATAATTTATTTGATTTTTTTTCTGAGAATGAATTTTGATAACAGTTGAACAGTTATTAGCATGAATCCTTTTTATTTTCAACTGTTGAGCAATATTATGCTAATAACATTGGTTCTTAATCTGTTTATTACTACAGTGCTTGCATTTGTACCTATAAGTCGCTATTACCAGGGCAGCGTCATTATTAGGGATAAAATATACTTCTTGGGTGGTATCGGTGTTTCTGGAAAAGGCTCTAATGAATTATTTTATTTAGATGTTTCTTCACCATTCACTACCGTAAATCTTAAATGGACTGATCTCACAACTATTGCACCTATACCTGTATCTAGTGCTTTCGCACCTTCTTGCGTTGGTGGAAGCAATAATGCTACTATTTTTTTACTTGAACACCGTAGCGCAAATAATGTTAATTCGACTAATTTAGTGACCTTTACCTTTGATACAACGACTCAAAAATGGTCTATTCCAACAACAACAATTCCACCACCAACCAGACAGGACATGAAAGCTGTTGTTGATAATTATGGTAGAATATATATTTCTGGTGGATATGAACCGTATGCAACCTTGAAATCTTACAATAACACCTACGTATTGGATTCTTTGAGTTTATCTTGGCTTAGTGGTTCTAATGCACCGATCACTCGATCCGGTTATACTGCTACACTTTTACCAAGTGGGCAAATAGTATACATAGGAGGGACGAATGAAGACCCAACTCCAGAAATTGACATGAAACAAGTAACTAAGTTTTTATTAATTGTGTTAAATCTATTATTTTTTGACGGTTTTATTTTTCCCCTTAGATATCAATTTATAATACAATTTCTGGAACTTGGTCTTTGATGGTAGGTAAATGAGCTTTCCGACACAAAAGTTTCTGTTTAAATTTTGTATTAGTCTATATTAGGTTTATATGGTCATTGTAAATTGTTATATGCGATATAGTAGTAGGATATATTTTTTCCAACCCATCGGATATTGTCTGTTTGAACAATAATAACTTTAATATTTGAATAAAGTGTATGGCATGCTGGACAACGGTGAAAATTGTGCATGGTGGGCAATTACTTGTCACGATTCTCAACATTTGTATAATTTATTTAGAAAAGATGGGAACTCTGTTTCATTGATTTATTAAAAAATGTTTCATTTCCTTGATTAAATGCGACCTTCGAGACATTTATTCTTATACTGAAATTTAATATATATGAATCATTTAGACTGCAGGTGGCGAAGCGATTGCGGCACGTCAATCTCATACTGCAGTACTAGGTATTTAATAAATATTAGTAATACATCAAAACATTTATCGTTTTTATTCATAATATAATCCATATATTTTTTTTCAGGCTATGACGGTTCTATTGTTATTTATGGGGGTGCTGCTAATAATTTTACTGTTGTACCAGCTCCATCTTTGGCTGCATTGAATATAAGTACTTACACGTGGTCGACAAAACTGTCTACGGGTGTATATGCACCACCACCTCTTGCCTATCATTCAGTTGAGATGGTTGGAAATTATATGATTGTGGCATTTGGTGATTATATTAATTGATTGAAATAATTTCTAATCATTTATCGGCAACTTTTATTAAATTTTTTTTTTATTCTTAGGTGCTGGCTTTTCAGGTACTAAATTCGATATAGTAACTGCTCCTAATAATAATATTTACATACTAGACACTTCAAGTTATACCTGGGTTACATCATTTGATTTAACTCCGAATAGTACATCTACTTTAAAACGAACTGCTAGTCCAATTAGCAGAACTTCAACTAATAATAATAATAATAATGATAATAATAATAATAATAATCATAGTGATTCACTTGTGATCCCACTAGCTGCTGGTATTGGAGGCACGCTTGTTGGCATTATGATTGCAGGCTTTGTAGGCTTTATTTGTTATAGGAAATATCGTAAAAACCCAGATAATGATCCTTATATTCCTACTCCGGGTAGTACTAGTGTTCGCGAATATGATGATCCTGTTGATTATGTTCCTACACCGGGTTCAAATATTCGCGAAACTAGACACAGTGTTTTCACCCCTCCCTCAACTACGAATCGATATGGTACTCCTTCTTTTGTTTCAAATACAAGTTCAGCATATGATTCCCCAAATTATATGTATCAATCTGGTGCTCCTGATGTTACCTTCATTCCTCCTGGTACGCCCATCCCAGGCACATATAATCAAGGTGTTTTGATTCAAGGCCCTATCCATGGTGTTTATAATCAGGGTGCTTAAGGCGGTCCTTCCTATAACCATGTAACCTAAAATGTTCCTACTGATAATATTCTTACACTGGGTACACGCTCCATTGGGTGTCAATCATCTAATAAAATCAAACATATGTCTAGCCTTATTGAATTTTGCATAATGATGGATTTTTTGATCAAAAAATTGTGCCACAATCTTCATAACAAAAGATTAGTAAAATAGATTATAGTTATTGTATGGGTTGTAAAAAATAACTAAATTTGCAAGGGTAACATGGTTTCGGTCATGTAAAACTGGTTAACTCGTGCAAATTTAGTTGGTTTTATACAATCCCACATAATAACTATATAATTGCACGGGTCTGACGTAACAAACCTTTCACATCAATAGAAGGACAATTTTAGCATCGCTGTTATAAAGACTTCCCAAAAAAGAATTTTTAAAAAAGTGAACCTTAATAATGTCAAGACCTCGCTCGAAGAAGAGTGAAAAACAAAATAGCATATCATTCTGTTTAATAGGAATAAATAGAAGCAAAGACTTAATAATATACAACCTGCATCATTAGAATTTTTTAAAAAAACAACCAAGATCTAGAAATATGTGATTTATATACTATAAATTATAAAGAAAAAAAAGATTTAAAAATATATAATTCAATATAGAATTTGAAGAAAGTGACAATAAAGTGCAACTTCTTCGACAAGAATTTAAAGTAAACTCTAAAAACGTGTTATTCTGCCTAGTAAGAATTTTTGGGGAGATTTCTACATGATCACATTTATAATATAGAGTTAAGGATAGGGTTTGTACTACGGTTTGTACTACCAGTCGAATGCGTTATTATCACATGTATATATATAAATGTAATTATATGAAAAATGTGATATAAGGGGTTTACGTGTCCCGAATTTGAATAAAAAGATAATTTTTTAAAAAAAAACAAAATCGAAAAACATGCAATTCCATTTAATAAGGTGAAGGACTAATAACATTTTACTTCATCCGATAAGATTTTAAAGGACTAATTATATTACTATAAGTCCAAGGCAATTTTAAAAGAAAGCGAAAACAAATATAGCCAAACCTCAGTTATATCACCAGAGAGTTTTAGGACATATAACTTAGGTAGATAAAGAATATTTATTCTGCTAAATGACAGGAATATAACTTAGGTTGAGATATTTAATGGAGATATAATTGATCATTATCTGTAATGTTGACACTGTCCAAGGACAATTTAAAAAATAAAGACAAATCAATTTAATAAAAATAAAATAACTAAATTGGATTCCCTATAAGAAAAACGTACCGGATTGGCACGGGTTGCGACGTATAGTGTGAGCAGTAGGATGGTAACGTCGAATTAATGGCTATGTTGATCACCTACCCAAAAATGGGTTTCCCGGCAGTATACGTTGTATTCGCTGTATCCTATGCATCGGTTCATAATGGATATCAGTAGGATACAGTGTATAATTATAATAATCAGTATAAACAATATAATCAGTATCATTGATATCAACATTATAATTAGTATATGAGGGATAATACTGTATGTATAAGTGCGATATCACGAATCGAATGTATAACATGCCTTATGTAAACGAAAGTATATATGTTCTGAGTCATTTCACAATTTAGGTCGATTCCGAATTGGCCTAGGTCATTCATAAATTTTCATCGATTCAGAAATGATCCAGGTCAATTTTTAATGAAACACTACGAATTTTAAGCATAAGGGTGTGACTAATTATAGAGTGACAAATATGTATCAACTACTTTAGTGCTTATTTATCATGCAATTATTTGTCACACCCACGGCGGTGCAACACCGCGTAATTTAAGGATCGGGTGTGACCAAACATCTATGTGACAAATAAGCACCAACTAATTTATTTATATAAATAAATTTAGTCAGTGTTTATTTGTCACTTCACTTGGGTATCATTTGATCCCAAAATTTAATAGAAATTTAGAACCCAGAATTATTGCGTATATCAAATTAATGCAAAAAAAAACAAAAATCAATAAACAAATAAAACTTTTCGAATGCTTAACTTTATCCATAAATACAACTTTTTATTATTATTAATTCTTAATATAGAAAGTTACGACCTTTTGACGTGTGAAACCTTTGATCGAATATTAAAGCTTTTATTCATCAAAGGAAAAACAATCGTTGTTTAATGGATCAAAATAAATATAATAAATGTTTAATTGTAATTAAAAATCCTAACGACATATATAACCCAAAATTTAAATATTGGTGCAACTGAAGAACTTTATACGATTAAACGATCTGATGACGCAAGTTTGTCCTGTTGAAAACTTTTTATGCCTTAAAATACATTTTTTTATTGTTTTTTTTTTTTTTTATTTATTTGTATTGCGCATTTTTTATTAATTATGTGGATTTTTATTATTTATTTGTATTGTACATTTTTTTTAATACAATTTTTTATTTTTTTATTGAAACATTAAAGCATTTTTGCTAAAATAGCTAAATTTTATTATAAATAAAAGATCTTTAATAATATAATTAATATTATTGCTTGGGCTATATAATTTATCGCTTGGGCATATAATTTTAAATTTTAAAAATTCACCGATTGAGAAATGACCTAGGTCGTTTCAAAATTCAAGAATGACCTAGATCAATTTGGAATCGACTCAGAACATATATAATAAAGGCTTCAAGCCCTACGAAGAAGGATTCAGTGTTTGTGATTCAAATAAAATTCGTCCCCTAATAATAATTTCCTACTGTCGTTATAATAATACCTACAATCATAAACACCACTCGTCAAATCTAACCGCCTCATATCGACTAAGCCGTTCGTAGGTTACACGACATATACGATTGAGAAGCGACTGGCTCGCCGTTTCGCTCGTGTCAATAGGTACGGCAAAGGTACCGGGTTTGCACGTGCGTTGTCCGGATTTGTTGGGTCGTATTGGCCCGTATAAACGTGCCGATTGGACCGTAAATGGCTCGAGCTTTGCAACAGTTTACCAGTCGAATCGGTACACGGATAATGAAACGAGCCTTTCTCTAATAATTGTTTTATTAGAAATAAATTCGATAGTAGTTAAAGCATGTATATGTGATGAAGGCAACAAGGGTAATGGCGTTTATAGTAAAATTCAGTAAGGTATTTTTTTGATTAAGTCACTAAGAATAGTTTCATAATGTTAGATTCAACATGTGATCCACGGGTAACTGATTAACGACCCTAGCGTCGCCCTAAAAAAAATGGTAGCCGGACAGATCTACCGGGTACATGTTTTTATGTGATTCGGATTTGATTATAATATGGTCTCTTGAATCGCTTAAAATTTTATTGTTTATACGTTTTCTTTTGCTTATATTTGTAGGCAAATTCAATTTTTTTACAAGCATCTGTTTTTTATCTCTATTTTGGACCAGTAAGTTAATAATTTCAAAAGATGTGCTTCATTTAGTACTATAAAAAACGTTTATGAGACTAATCCAATGATCCAAAGGTTATAATGGATGGTAATTTATTTAAATTACCAATAAATCTTCAAGATGTAAAAATATTTGAACTTTAGATGATCGTTATAATCGCAATGATGGATATATGGGATAAAAAATAAATAGTAAATTAGTTATAAATAACATGTACGTTCGCTCATAAATAAATCGGATTTCATACAAGTAATAAACACCATTACCTTACAATAATCGAATTCAGGGTTCTTCTACGAGTGACTGTAGAGAACCATCGTTAAAGAATAAACTTAACCCGTAAAAGTAATAAAATCCCACCCCGTTGCATACAGTATTCCCGAAGTAGTGTGGGATACTGCGAATTTTAGGAATAGTAGAGTAATAGTCTCAACGTAGTGTAGACTATTCTTGAATAACCCGACCCGAATCCAAATCGCTTGCCAAATCTACACGCCTTTTTCGACCGAAAGCCGTCCGATCGTTACACGAAGTCGTCTATCGATTAGAGACAGACTCGCCGATTTAGGACCTCTCAATAAGTAAAAAACGGATTCTTCGAATTTCACATTACACTTATTCCTTCGTCCTTATTGACACATAAAATCAAAACATGCCCCATTCCGTACAACGCGCAAACGAATCATTTCGACTACGTACCACTCCGAGAAATGAGCCAATACATATCACCTTAGACACGTGTCATTAATGAACCAACACATTTCATTCTGACGGCCAGCACGTATCATTATGCACACATAAAATTCCGTACAACATGCCTACACGTGCCCAGGAAACGAACCATTCGTATATTTTATTGTTACGTAAGTGGGTAATAACTATTTTATTCCCAGGTTATTATTATATTTCTACGCTATTCTTTCAAATTAAAGTTATGCATTTCAAGAAGTTTAGCTTTACTACAATCATAAACCTTTTTTTTCATTTTCTATCACTTTTTTTTTTTATTTTAGCCAGCTATTTACTTTTCGTAACTTTATTAGTTTAAAAAATTCATATAATGTTAAAAAAAAGTAAAAACTGAGGTTTGACTGTACAACATGATCTACGTATATAATGTATAAATTCGTTACCTCCGAGCAACAAATCAATCGGCTCTATGCATAAACTTTTGCATAAAATTAAGAATTTTTTTAGCCACTCTATAATTCATTATAAATTTTTATTTAAGTTATAAAATTAAATTAGAATTGATATTAAAATAGAGTTAGATTAGAATTAGGATTAGAGTTAAAGCTAGAATATAATACTGAACGTTTCTACTTAGTGCATTAAACATGATTGTTTAAGCCGTTTTTGAATTACAATCAGAGGGTAGTTATGTTAATTAGGGGCAATTTAGCAATACACTAAAATTTAAATTTCAAAGTATATGCATAAATGACATATAAAACTAAAAATAGCTTAAATTTAAGTATTTTACATGACAAAACTAGATATGATAAAATAAAAATTTTGCATTTTACAATATTTAACTGGAAAACATTGGGATAAATTCACCAGTAAGTATATTAGTTAACCCATCGACACTGGA